TGATTAGACAGATAAAATATGCATATCTATTAAAGAACATAAATATGAAAAAGCATAACATCCCAATTTTGGACCAAACGTATCATTATTGGTTGCATCCTAAAAGGCTTAAGAAAACAAAAGATTTGGAGCAGCTTCTCCTACTAATCTCAACTTCTACAACAGAACAATCTTACAGGTAAGATCAACGTTTGTTCGACTGTTCCTAACTTCAGTCTTCAGACTCAAATTACAGTTACAAGTTACAACTGCCTAACAATTTGGTTCTGAAACATATGAATTCCTAAAAGTTACTAAAGAACAAATGAGGACCTCACTCTTGACAATCAATCTGCTCAAACGGAACTCGTATGAACAGTCGGCCGTGCATGCTCATGACCGCAGATGTGTGAAGCGGATCGATTCTTGCTGATAAGTCAACAACCTGGTGAAATCATATCAAAAAGACAGGGCGGTTCTCAGTTTGATACTCAAGTGTCTGAATCGGATAATGACAATATTTGGAAAATGTAAGAAACTTGTACCTTTTTGAATGGTGTAATTCCCCAAGGATTGTCAAGCTGCTCAGGCTGGCCTGTTATAACCAGCTTCCCTGCAGGATCTGATTGAATTCGAACCTGAGAAGAAAAATCAAATTATGTTAAGGAATTGGAACTTGTAATGATTATACCAAAAAACACTTTTCGCCAGCAAAAATGTGTACTGAGACTCAAGCCAGTGTCAAAGACTTATCAAGAAGCTTTTCAGAAATAGGGTTTACAAGGGAGGAGCGCTCACTTCTTTGCGAAGAAGTCCAGGTACCAAAGCAAATATCTCAAAGGAATCCTTCTGTGAATATCAAAACAAACACAAAAACAGATTTGGTAAGATTTCAGAATGGAAAGAAACAGCTTGCCTGCAATTCTTTTTGCGTTATTTCAGTCGTCTTTTTGAACAGAATTTCTCGTGCTGCAGTTACAAACGGGAAAATGGCAGAAGTTACTCACAGTTTCTTTGACATTTATCTTCACCCAGTCAGCAAGGGGTCCAACATCAACAACTCCAGCAAACGACCTATCGCGCCAAAAGACAAGAGACAAAAAGGAAACCTTCGCGTTAAATTACATTAACATGTTCAGGTAAAGGAATGCTCTGTTTTCATGTCAATACTGCTAGAGGGATTGAAACAAAGATTTTTAATAACTATCTAAGTGTTGCAAATAAGCAGGAGAGGATTAGCATTTCATACTGTTGGTCTACTTCATGTGAAACAGCAAGGTCCATGCTAGTTTGTGTTTCCTGTTTCGGCAGCCCTGATAAAAACGTATAAAACACAATGTTAAGCAACCGGCCATTGAGAAAAAAATAGCAACGCCTTGAGAAGAAAATATACCAATGGTTTTGAGTTTCTTATGCTTTGGGGCTGAGTTTAAGCCCTTTTCCTGAAACAAAAGGAGAACATCATCATGGCGATGGAAAAATTTCTGCATGGTGGAATCACAAAGTGCAGTAAGATTTGAAGTGAAACCTTAGCAATAGGCTCAGTAACCTCTCCAGGTCCAACAAGGCGCTGTGCATGCCAACTTTGCATAGCGCGAGCTGCCGAATCTCTTCGTGCCCTGCCTGATCCTGAACCACCTTGATGGCCATTTGCCTACATTAAAGCCCTTATAAGTTATATCAGGGAGGAAAAAAATGTCAAGAAGGGGAAACGGGGAGGCACGTGAATTTATTTTCAGGGTTTCTGGAACTTATATGGTATTTGTTTGGTCATGCATCTGGTTTCCTATGGCCTTCAGTATTAGAAATAAAAAAGGCTACAGCTTGTACTCAGTCAGATTGCATAGAGTAGGGTTTAACAGGTTTAGCTGGAATTGCACATTCCATAATTCCTTTCTACATTAACTGAATGCTGAAAGAGAATTCTCGAGCTTTCCTTCCATCGGTTTCAACAACATTTTTTGCCATACATGTCCCTCTTCCCACAATAAATTAAGTGGATAGCTCTTTAGCCTCTCTTTTTTTAACGGGTGCTAGATCTAGCTGATATCTTCATCCGAATTTTCAATATCTACCCGTCTTTCCATAAATTCCCTATCTCAAAGTGTCCAAACCCAAAAAAGCATACAAGCCACATTTTTAGAGGAAATTCTTACCTCCTTCTTGACGCTGGAAGTCAGCATCAATGTTGGACCAGGAAGGTTAAGCTCACCGTTTCTCCTTAAATACTTTTCGTACTCCAAAAGTGCCTGCAATTAAGCAAAGATACAAATCAAAATGCACCTATATCTACATGATAAGATTAAAAAAACAGTAACAGCGCATTCAAAGTTTCAAACCCAAAAGAACTAGTCCCAAACAAACTGATGTAACACTACTTAGCCAAGACAGAACCAACCTAGCTATTATACCATACCAAAAGAAGCACGAGGAGAATAGTCTGATGTGGATAAGTAAAGTAAATACATGCTGGGATAAATATACGATACTTCTGCACAACAAAGATATTCACCTTCTCATAGAAGTTGCGGAATGTGTAGGAGACTGTTGTGCATGTCCTGAACAAAAATATTTAAACCAAACATATAAAACATTAGAATCATAAAACATCGGCACACACTAAACGGAGCGTCTAAGGAAACATCAACCATACTTCGGAGGATTGAAGGATTCTCCAATTTGCCGCCATAGCTTAGATGTGGTGACCTAAAATATCATGAAAACACAATGAAATTTTTTGAAGACCATGATATTCAATTTTGACCAAAAGATTTGATAAACTTTGAATATAAACTCCCAAATATAGCTGACAGCAGTAAACCAAATCAGTTATCCAACTACGTATCAAACACAACTTTAATATACCTGTATAATTAAATCAATTAAGTTTAAAATCTCCTCAATGAATGGTCGTCTTATGGTTATAGATACTCTTTAACATTAATTCGCTTACCAGTTTAACATTTATACATTTTATAGTTCATATGCTATACAAGTCAACTCAAATGACTGAACTGAAGAACTATATGATCTTGGTTATCATGAAGTGGTGATGTTGGAGTTTAAGACTAAAGTAGAAAAGTGGATAATTACCACTTCACAGCCACCTAACTTAATGACTGCTCGCCATAGCCTACATTGCAAAGTAAAAAAAACATGCAAATGTCAGGCACTGATTAAGCAGATATATGGGTCTCTTTAAAGAACATAAGCAACACTTTACGACAACTCACTTGAGAGTGTTTAAAGGCTTTTGATAGAATTTAGGTGCTTTAAATTCCAGGAAATTCTCTTTATGAAAGGTCTCCAATTCTCTTAGAAACGCCTTTTGTTCCTCTGGTGTCCCCTCTTCATCAACATCCCGTGCCTGTAGAGAAAAAGATGAGCTTGAAATGAAACAAAGCCAATGAACACCACAACAATCTTTACCACTAAGCTCCTTTCCCTTCTATAACACAGACACACACGCCTTAGGCTTTAAATTTAACAGAAACATAGTAGTCTATTACCTCAGAATCACTGAGCAACCAAGTCTTCCGCTTTCTCGGATTCTCATTTTCAGACTTAGGACTCAACATTTCCACCTTAGTAGTGTCAACAAGTACAGTAACATCACCAGAAGGAACATCTTGCTCTTGCATTTCGGTATCCGCCATAAAAAAAGCTGCAACCCTGTTGTGGAATAAACAGT